AGGCGCCTTTCTGCAGGCTGAGACTCTGTGTAACTGTCACAGAGGCCGGCCTGTGTGCTGAAGGATGTCAACCAGCATCCCTGGTCTCGACCCCAAAGATGCCAGTAGCAGCCCCAATTGGGACCCCCCAAAATGCCTCCAGACCCTGCCAGCTGCCACCTGGGGGAGGCACCCTTGTCCCCATTTGAAAAGCCCCTGGAAGTTGCTGTTCTGGCATTTCTTGGGCTTTTTCTGCCAGCTTAGCCACTCGCTGCATGTAGGGACAAGCTTGGCAGCCGTCGGCATCCGCGCAGGGTGATGCCCGTGGGGATTTCCTTCCTCCTCGGCTTGCCCGACTCTGCCAGAAGCTTTAAACCATCTGTTTGTTGACATCGTAGTGTCCTCAGGACGCCTGGCCCCTTCATGACCAAAGTATTTTTGCACCACTTTCACTGGGGGGATTGCACAAATCATGTCTGTGCAAGGCTGTTAGGCTTAAAGAGATAAGCGTTTCTATTCTTGGAGAAAAATTTGAGAAAAGACCATTGAAATTTCCTCCCCACAAACAGATAGAGTAGCTGCCTTTTATTTCTGGTCCTATAAGCCACTCCAAGGTGAAAGATGAGCCCCTTTAATCCCGTCAAGAGGCACAGTCTTGGAAATCCACAGGGGCAAGTTCCACCCTGCCAATGGGGTCGCCATAGCCAGCATTGGCTTGATGGTCGTGAGTTGGGTTTGGGCTACTCAGAGAGTCATCATGTGTGCAGAGAAGGAAACAATGCCCCTCCCCTCTCCAAACGTGCACTGTCCTGTCAATTCCAACTCATAGCAGCCCTATAGGACAGGGTAGAACTGCCCACTAGGGTTTCCAAGGCTGTACATCTTTATGGAAGTAGGCCAACACATCTTTCTCCCTCGGAGCGGCTGATGGGTTTGAACCACCAACCTTTCAGCTATCAGCTGAGTTTGTTACTCATGTTTTCACATTTCCTTATGCACCCTCTTTGTCTTCGGACCTTGTTGGGAAGCTGAGCATCATGGAATGCCAGGTTAATAGAACAAAGTGTTCTTGCATTGAGGGAGTACTTGAGTGGAGGTCCAATATCCATCTGCTACTTTAATACTAAACCTATAAATATATGTACATAGATCTATTCCCCATCATCATATATAAATATGTTTACAGATGTACATGCCCATATTTAGACCTCTATAAATGCCCTTTGCCTCCTAGCTCTTTCCTTTATTTCCTTTTACTTTCCTCATATCCCACTATTATGCTCAGCCTTCATTTGGGTTTCAGTAATTCCTCTCGGTTACATTGCCCTTGATCATGCCCTACCAGGCTTCCTCCACCCTCTTCGACATGATTTTGAATCCCTTGTCCCTGGGTTGATTGTCTCCTCACTTCCTTTCTCCCTTCCTCCGGTCTACCATGTCCGCCCAGAACCGTCAGTCCTCCCAGAACCCTTTTTTTCTCCTCGGGATTGTCTATCTTACTTATCTTTTATAGATAGACAGTTGTTTTGCTTTTAACAAGTTAACTATTCACTATCTTTTGTTACCAATTTTACTTCCTTATTTTCCTCTCTAAGTATGTAGAGGGAGAGGACCTAATGCCGGGGCTTTAAGTGGAGAGGAAATGTTTTGAGAATGATGAGGGCAATGAATGTACAAATGCGCTTTACACAATTGATGTGTGTATGGATTGTGATAAGAGTTGTATGAGCCCCTAATAAAATGGTTAATAAATAAATAAATAAAACAAGAAGATAAAATGAAAAAAAAATGTAGAGGGCAATTGCTCTGTGACCATGGGTTCGGCTGGCTTGTCTAGTGACACCCATCGATTTATGTCCACAAGTAATCTCGTATCAAGAAGGCATCCAGCCCCACTCAAGTCCAGGAGCCCAGTGCAAGCCAGGGCTGACCGTCTTCACCCTCACTCGGTGCAAAGGTGAAGCAGGAAGGTCACAGGTCGGTGGTGTAGAGTTGCCCGGACCCAAGGCCGGGGAAACAGGGCAGGGTGCTGATAGCGCTCAGGATTGGGTTGCCCACAGGGGGCCACAGAGTCCCAGCCAGGGTGGAGTGAACGGCAGAGAGAGAGAGAGTGAGGTTCCCAGTTTCCCCGCCTATGAAAAGGCCACACCCCCCAGGGAGGCACCTTCGATGGTGACCTGATTGGTTGGTTGGTTGGATTCCACTCCTCACTCCCACCCACCTCCAAGTTGACATAGAACCTGGCTGCCCCAGACCCTTAGTTCTGCCTTTTGTGGCTGTTGGAAGATTCTCCGAGTGGAAATTGCACTGGGACAGGAAAGACCATGAAGAAAACGCAGAATGGAAACTCTTTTGATGGCTGGCTCTGGCTGATTTTACCCTTGCGATTGCCCACCTACCTTTCTTCCCCTTCAATGTCCCAGCAAACCTTCCTCCGACTGATAGCAACCCTCCCGGTCGGCGGATCTGCTCCCGTGTGGAGCAGACAGCCTCCTCTTCCTGCCTGAGCAACTGGAGGGTTCACATCTTACTGTTGGCAGCCCAACACCACCTCACAGCGCAGTCCGCTCTCGCTGCCATCGAGCCATGGGAGTAGAAAGCCCAGTCTTTCTCCCTGGGAGCTGCTGCTGGTTTCAAACTGTGGGCCCTGCATATCGCAGCCCGGTGCATAACCACTTACCCCCCCAGGGTTCCCTAAATGTGATAGAGTAGGTTCAGACTCTGCTCTCATTAGCTGTGTGACCCTGGACAAGTGACAACACCTGTTTGTGCTTCTGCATCCTCATCTACAGACTGAGGACAGTCCTACAGCTTGGCTCAGGGGTTGTGGAAGACAAACTCACTGAGGGGGTGGGGAGGGAAGGCTAAGCTACAGGTAACGGTGACTCCAGTTTGCCTGACTGAGCGTCTGATAGCCTGAGACACGGGAAGTTTCGCTCACAAGATGTTTGTTTCATCAGAAGTGTTCCAGACTCTGCTTCCGGTGAATCGGTATCTTCCTGTAAAATGATGCTGCTTTTGTTTGCTTTGTTTTTAAATGTCTCTTGGGAAATGCCGCCTGCCTTTGTCGTCGCTGGTGACTGATTTGTGTAGGTGAACTCTCTCTCCCACGTTGGTTCTGACTCATTGCTCAACTGCTGGCCCTGCGGCTAACAGCCCAATGGGGAACTCACCCACCATGGAGACTTCTCTGGGTGGATCACAAGAATTGGGGGGTTCTATGTGGCTGTGCTGTAGGAACCCTTAGAAAATTAGTCAGATACAGGTATTCCCAAACTCCAGGCCCGCCCCCCTCCCCCTGCCCTGCCTTATGTAGCCACGCCTGTTGTAGTAGCCCTGGGAACTTTCAGGCTGCAAGGGGCAGAATAGTCCAGAAGCCTGAAATATATATATA